ACTTATCTTGCCCCGAGTCTCTGGAGAGCTGAGGCTGCAAGTGTGCACCGCTATTCCTGTACTAGACATTTTGCTCTTGTAAGTTTGAGATGCGGTCTCAAACTGTTACCCAGGCTGACTGCAGCTTCCCCAGTGGCTGGAGTGACAAGTGCCATGACTCCACCCACTTCTAGCAATTAAAATGGAAATGAAAATTGGAGCTGGGAGGTCAAAGAGGCCTGCGCTCCGACCTGCTAAAGGCTAAAGCACAGAATGTTGCAATAGGCTTGGGTAAACAACTACAGTCAGCATCTCCTGCCTTCAGCACTCCTCAGCAGGAGCACCCTCAGGAGCACCCTCAGTGACCACCAGGAAGGACTGCAGCTTAGGATGTCTGCCCTGGCAATGACTGCCTCCAAAATCGACTCTGGAAATCCCCAACCACAAACTAAACAAAAGAAGCCCCTGCCTCCGCCTTCTGCACTGATTGAGGGCACTCTGATTCGGTGTGTCCAAAGTGCTCCTACATAAGTGCTATATTCTTTGGCTTCTGGGCTCTGTCCTCTGTTTTGTTTTGGCTTTTGAGATGGTCTTAGTATGTAGCTTTGGCTAGCCAGGAGCTCACTATAGTATGTATGTATGTATTCTGAAACAAAGCACTGGTCTAGGCTGGCCTCAACTTCATAGATCCATCTTGATAAATTTTTTAAACTAGTGCTGTGTTTCAGATTACATACATACATATATGCATGCATACATGATAAATGCCATGAAAAAGGAAAGATCAGGGAGGAGGAACTGAATATAACTCTGTGGGGAATTCCAGAAATAAAGAAATAGGAGAATAATCTCCACAGGACCAAAGAATGAAGCCTTTAAGCAAAATAGGTACGTGAGGACGGGCAGGGCAAGCTTGAGGTGGTGGGTGAGCTCCTGGAATGCCTGCGAAGGAAGTCTGGCTTTAACCAGCAGGGGAGGTGAATTTACTCACACCTGTTTGGGGAATACAGCAAGCACTCTCTAAAGGAATGGATGGGACCAGAAAGCTGAGTTTGGAAATGGCTGGGTCTAGAGAAGAGACCATGCTGGCAGCCACTCAGAAGCTGGAATTGATGGGAAGAAATGAGTGAACATTATAAAGTGACCAAGAGTGAAGGAGGATTTGGAGCAACCCCAGGTGTGGTTCTGGGACCAAACCCAGGACTTGGTCCAGGCTAGACAAACAGTCACAGAACTATACCCAAGCCCTTGCTTTTGTGCTTGCTTCCTTTTGTTGTTGTGTGTTGGCTCACGCTGCAGCCTGAAATTGGCTGCCTTTTCAGACTGTAATATTCCTACTTCCTATTTCCTCATTCCATTCTTTATCTTTTCTCTTACCTGCTTTTTTTCCTTTTGTTTTTTGTTTGTTTGTTTTTGTTTTTCTCATTTTTTTGTTTTTGTTTTGTTTTTGAGACAGCCTCTGGCTATGGCTATATAACTGAGGCTGGCCTTGAACTCCTGATCATTTTGCCTCCACCTCACAAGTAGTAAGAGTACAAGGGTGTGGTGTTAGCTTATAAACAGCCTGCTTCTGGGTTGCCTAGTAACCTATGATGTCAGCATGTGTCACTGCCAGGTGTGTGGCAGACGCGGTTCAGCTGCACAAGCTATATAAGGACCAGCCCGCCAGCTTGTGTCTCTTACTCTCCTCTCTTGCTCTCTCCTTTTCTTTCCTGGGGATCCTCCAACCATGTTTCTCTCTCTCTCTATCTCTCCACCTCCATCCAATAAATCTCTTTTATATAATATCTGTTGTGTGTATGGCATTGTTTTAAAATAAATACTAACAGTGTGGTACTATGCCTGACTTTTTTTGTTTTATTGATGTTGGCCTCTGTTAGCCTAGGCTGGCATCAAGCTCACTGTGTAGCCACAGTTGGCCTCAGGCTCACAGTAATCCATCCTCCTGCTTGGCCTTCACATCCTGAGTTGACAGAAGTGAGCCATCCATCTGCCCAGCATAAAAAGTGATCTTGCAAGTAGCCTTCATTCCCACACCTATTTGCAGAGCCAGAACCAAAAGCTCCAGAGGGAAACGGCTTGCCCAGGCTGCCCAGCTGAGAGCACACCAGAAGAGCCCAAGTATTCTGCTTACTAGAGTGAATAGGACCATCCTTAAAACCTTATCTTGGCTTTGTTAGCCACTGCCTAACCTACAATCCTCATTCCTTACTGTAACTCACGGGTGAGTTCCGGCTCCTGGGTCTGGCACTGAGCTGAAGACAGAGGATCATTCTCAGCTACATAGTGAGCTCCATGCCAGTCTTGACTACATAAGAACTTGTCTCAACAGGGAAAAAAAATTACATTTTAATAACCCAGGCTCAGAAAAGTTACTGAGCTTCTCATTTCTTCTGAGCATCCTCTTCCCTCTCGAAACAAAAACCCACAGGGAGGGCTGCAGAGATGGCTCAGAGGTTAAGAGCACTGACTGCTCTTCCAGAGGTCATGAGTTCAATTTCCAGCAACCACATGGTGTCTCACAACCATCTATAATGTCAGGTGTTATGTGCAGACAGAGCATTGTATACATAATAAATAAATATATCTTAAAAAAAAAAATCCACAGGGAAAATAACCTCAGTGGATAACACCCAGCCCAGAGTCTGAGAAGTTCTCTGTTCAGTCCTTAGCAAAGAAAAGAAAAGAAAAGAGGAAGAGGGGAGAGGAGAAAGAAGGGAGGAAAGGAGGGAGGGAAGAAGAAAGAAAGGAAAGAAGGAAAGGAGGGAACAAAGGAGGGAAGGAGGAAGGAAGGGAAGGAAAGGAGCAGTTGGGCATTTTGGCTCCACACCTCTAATTTAGAAATCTGAGGAGGGAAGACCACTATGAGTTTGAGGCCAGCCTGGACTCCATATCATGTTCCAGGCTCCTTGAGTTACATTATGACAGTCTGTCTCAAAAAAAAAAAAAAAAAAAGAAAGAAAGAATTTCAAAAGGGAGGCCTGGAGAAGTGGCTCAGCAGTTGAGAACACAGAGTGCTCTCACGGAAGAACCTGAGTTGTTCGCTCATCCACACCCAGGTCAGGCGGCTCACAACAGTCCCAGGACTCCAATACCTTCAGATTCTAGAAATAATTACATGAGACCGAGGATGTGACTCCGCAGCAGATTCTTGCCTTACGGGAACAAGACCCTGGGTTCAATCCCCAGCACCCACACCCCCCCCAAGAAAATAATAAAGTTTGTATTAGTTGTGTAGTTTAAAATTTTATACTACTCAAAACAAAACCTTAAAAGAACTTAGAGGTATAGCTGGGATGGCAGAGTGCTCACCTGGCACTGTAGGAAGCGTCAGACTCCAACCCCAGCACCATCTGAAAGAAAACGTGGTGGCTGGTCGATGATTCATCGAGTCATTGATTGATTGGTCCAAGACAAAGTCTGCCTCTGTAGCCCAAGGCAGCCTTGGATTTGTGATTTACCCGGCTTCAGATTCCTGAGCTCTGGGATTACAGGAATTGAACACCACACCAGGCTATAAAATATTAATTATGTTTACGAAAGTAGCATTCTTTTTTCATACTAAGTTTCCGAAATCTGCCATGCACTTTATAGCCTCAGTTCTCAGGGGCCACACTGCAAATGCTCAGTGGTCACACGTAGTTAGTGCTGTACGGGGCAGTGCAGGTAGACAGCAAGGATTTGGGGGTGGGAGGCCTTGGGACAGAGCCCAGGGCGCCACACCGCAGCATCCTAGGCAGATGCTCTGTTGCTGCCAGGAGACCCATGTCCACATCTTGTTTTTTTTTGTTTTTGTTTGTTTGTTTGTTTGTTTTTTGCAACTGGGTCTTTCTATATAGACCTTGCTGCCCTGAAACTCATTATGTAGACCAACTGGTCTCCAACTCACAGAGACCCCCCCACCCCACCCCCGCCTTTGCCTACCAGGGGATTAAAGGTTTTGACACCACACCTGGCCCAGGCAGGCAGGTTAGCTCTTGTAGACCTCTTTGCAGTTTAAGATGACTCTCTTAAAAGAGAGTAATTTTAAAAAATAGTCTTTCTTTTTAAAAATACTTAATTTTCATTATTTTTTGACAAAGTCTCACCACTTAACCCTGACTGGCCTGGAACTGAGTAAGTAAACCAGGCTGGTCTCCGACTCACAGAAATCTGCCTATTACTACTATTTTTAAACTATGTTTGCCTGTGTGTGGGTTTGTACACGTAAATACAGGGTCTGCTGGGGCCAGAAGAGGGCTTCAAATCCCCTGGAGCTAGAGTGACAGGTCATGAGCTGCATGACACAGGTGCTGGGAATCAAGTGTGGGAATCAAGTGTGGAAGGACAATGCATGCTTTTAACCAATGGGCCATCTCTCCAGGCCCCGTGCTTTCCCTGTGACCACTTGAGCCCTGCCACTTGATGAGCGAATTAGCACTACTGTAAGGAACTTGTTTAGAGCTAACATTCCCCTGCAGAACTGACATTGCTGTGGTGTTCTCATTCCTGTTTATTCTGGATTTTTCTTCTGTTTAACTGGAAAGGAAAGGGGCTGTGCAGTTTTAAGGCATCACTAGGGAGCTGGAGAGAGCTCAGTTGCTATAAGCAGAAGAGTTCGGTTCTTGATCCCACATCAGGCAGCTCACAACTGCCTGTAACTTACCAGAGAACGTAACGCCTCTGCCCTCAGGCACACACACACACACACACACACACACACACACACACACAATTAATTTAAAATAATAATAATAAATTTTTATTTTTTATTTTTGGTTTTTCGAAACAGTTTCTCTGTGTGTAGCCCTGGCTGTCCTAGAATCACCCTGTAGACCAGGCTGGCCTCGAACTCACAAAGATCCACCTGCCTCTGCCTCCCAAATTATTAAAGGGAGCTAGCTTGCCACCATGGCCTTTAATAAATATTTTTAAATATATATTTTTTTATATCTAATTTTAAAAAGTGTTACTAGCTGCTTCTGTAAAACTAAGCATGCATTGTTTGAGGATGTAGCTTGTCTGTGAGTCCCTGAGCACACAAAAGGGAAAACCCAAATATCTGAAAATAATTCCGGGATTCTAGTTTATTAAAGCCTTTAACAATAATAAAAGACTTATTTGTTGGAGGAGCTAAGACTTCCTCCTTGGCGCTGTTCTTTCTTCTGGGGTGGAAAGAATGTCTGCTCTCTTGGTGCCCTGTTATTGTTCTGTCTTGACAAACTCCATCCGGAGAAGAGCAGTTTTCTCGGGCAGACAGCCACATGTGGTGGAAAAACCCTTTACCCAGGCCCCCTCCTAGTCCATCGGACAACTGATCGGGGTCACCAGGCCCTGAGGTGACCTTTGGAAGGAAATGGAGGACTGCTGAACTCCAGAAGGAAAGGAGGGGCTGGTAATGAGCCATTTCCCGATTGTCTTCTGTCCTGTGACACTGCTAAGATGCCTTGCCCCGTTGTTTACACTTCCCCCACGGCCTAAGGTCATCTTCAGCACCTAAAAACCAAGAGGAGGACAAAGATTCCCCCAGGGCCATCTTGGAACTTTTCCTGGAAGACTTTCAGTGTGGGGTGTGTGTGTGTGTGTGCCCGTGTGGGTTCACATATCCACAGAGGCCAGAAGAGGGCATCCAGCCTTCTAAAGCTGCGTTACAGGTGTTTGTGAGCAGCCAAGTTTGGGTGCAGAGACCTGAACTTCCGGTCCAGTGCAAGCGCAGCAGGTGCCCTTACCTGCTGACCCATCTCTTCAGCCCCATTTTCTGAGGATTTTAGTGCTTCCTTCTCACCCAGGATGGCCCTGAAGGACAAAGGTTGCCAAGCAAGATGTTTTCATCTGTACTTCTGTTTCTATCTGAACAATGCTAATTTAAGTCTCTGAAAACTAGAATTACTTCTTTGAAACATAAAAAGGAGGTTTCTGAAAACTTAGGAAGGTTGGTTGATCCTTCCTTTCTCCTTGGCAATTTAGACGCTTCCTCCCCCACCCCCACCCTGCCCTGTTGCTTTAAGCTTAAGCTATTGTTTGGGAGGAGACTGGGAGGGCAGCAGAGGGCGGCCGCCTACCTGGAGAAACCTGCAGTTACGTGTGGCAGGAGCCGGGGCGGCTGGAGTCGCGGGATGGGCAGGAGGCGGGCAGAAAGTTGGAGTAAGCAGGAAGTGAAGCTGTGGCTGCCTTGGGTGGAAACAGACTAGGCGAGTTCTGCTTTGAGAGGCCCAAGTGCTCCCAGACATGGTGAGTGACCTGGGGACTGGAAAAAGAGAGATTTAGAGGGGCTGCGAGAGCGGGATCTGGCCTGGGGGTTGCCAGAGTGGAGCTAGGTTAAGTTGGCGCAGGCGAAGGGCTGGCGGGCGGGACTGGGCCAGCGCGGCCTCTGCCTCCTGACTTTTGACAACTCGTCCACAAATAGCTCTGCAGTCCCGGCCAGGGGTTCCGGACACTTCTCTGCCGCCTTCCTCCCGTGACCTCGTTGCCGGATCGCATCAGGGTTTTGGTGGGGGCTGGGGGACCCAAATTCCAAGCCGAGCTCCTCGCGCCGCGCCCTCCCCCTCCCCTGCCTCCTCCAGCTGGGCCTGAGCCCGGTGTTGTGACATTACCCGGCCACAGGCGCTCCTGCTCTCCGGGCTCACATTCCAGCCCAGCGGACTGGGGTGCTGCTCCTAACCCTCGCGCTGTATCTACGCAGACACCCAGAGGGTCTGCCTGGCCACCAAAAGCAGTCCCTTCTCTAGAAACACTAGCAACAGTGCCAAGGGTTTGTAAAGCAGCCAGACGTAGGCTCTCCCTGATACTCTAGCTTCAAGCCCACACCCATGGCCGGTACCTGAGGCTCCCTGGGTTTCCTCTCCCAGTTCAAAAGCCTTATCTAGAGGTCTCCTGGTTAGAGAGACCGCAGCAGGGCGGACTTTTACTAATATCTACATAAGCAGGAGGTGGTGTGGGGCCTACACATGCACTAAACTCTGGGGAAAGCAGAAGTGTGCAGACCAACAGCACGTGATGCCTTCTGAGGCCCACTAAACCGCCACTGAACCGCAGTTACATTGCCCAGCAGGCCAGAACCAGAACTCACCAACAGCTGTCTGGAGAGGCACTTGGGTTGGGCCAGGGGAGGGTACTCTGCTGGCCAGCTCTCACACTTTTCGTGAGAACCCACTAGGATTGGGAGGAGGGAGGCTGTGAGGACCAGTTAGTAAGTAGCGCCTGGCTCTGCTCTGCTGAGGAAACCTGAGGTGACAGCTGTGTCATCTCCTCGACCCTCTTTGTGGGAGCTGAAATAGGGGTGGTTGTGTGCTAGTTTTCCTTGTCAGGGACCCTGAAAAATACCCAGAAGAAGGTGGATCACAGAATCATCTTCTGGGGCTTAAACACACTTATATGGCAACCAAGATGGCTGGGCAGGTAAAAGTGCTTGAAGTACAAGCCTACCGGCCTGGAGTTCAACATACCACTCACTGTTCTCCATCCGCCTGTAGGAGACAATTCGCTCATGAAAGTTGTCCTCTGACCTCCACGTGTGTGCTGTGGCATACACGCATATTCCCCACTCTAACCTACCGCTAACACACACACACACACACACACACACACACACACACACACTGAATGCAAATTTATCCGGGACTAAGGACGTGGTTCAGTTGGTAGAGTGTCTGCCCGGCGTGCATGAAGCTCTGGGTCTAATCACAGCACCTCATAAACCTGGGGTGATGGGGAGACCTGCAGTCTCAGCACAGGGTCAGTAGAGACAGGAGGACCAAATGGTCAAGGTCACCCAACTTAAGTTTGAGGCCTGCCTAGGCTGTATGAGACCCTGTCTCAAGTAAGTAACTAAAACTGGGGAGGCGGCTCATTAGGTGAGGTGCTTGCTACGCAAGCATGGAGGTTTGAGTTGGATTCTCCAGACTCTTGTGGAGGGGAAAAAAAAATTCAGGTGTGGCTCAAGTACTGGGTGTGATTGCTTCCTTCACTAGGATGGCAGAGATAGGCTGACCCCTGGGGCTTGCTGGCCAGCCTGACTGAGAGCCCAGGCCAATGGGAGACCCAGCCTCTGAAAAGAAGGAAGCAGTGGCCCCTGAGGCGTGACACCTGGCCACTGGAGGCTGACCTGGCCTCCACCTGCTGGGATATACTGGAGCACCCACCTGAGCATAGAACGAACATTCTCCTTGTGAACAATTGAAGGATTAGAAATGGCTCAAACCTACCTTAGTTCCCCACCTCCTCTGGCCCTGCCCCCGCTGCTCTGCTTAATTAACCTCCTGTTGACATCCAGGAGGAGGCCAGCGGTGGTGCCGGAAATGACCGAGTTAGGAGCCTGCAGAGCCAGGTGGAGGGGGTCAAGAATATCATGACCCAGAACGTGGAGCGGATCTTGGCCCGAGGGGAGAACTTGGACCACCTCCGAAACAAGACAGAGGACTTGGAAGCCACGGTGAGATGGGGGCAAGCTGGTGTGGAGGTGGCGATCTCATGGGGGAGGCAAAGTGAGCAGAGGGGATGGCAGGCTGCCAGGTCGACTGTCCTGCTGTCTATCAGGAGACGTTGAGTCTCCACCTCTGGCTCCTGGCTGCTCTGCTGGTTGGTAGAGAGCCCAGTGAGCGGGTCCATTTGGGCCTGAGTGAGGAGTCTACCCACAGAGCCTAGGCCTCCTAGGCTTCCTTGGGGTACAAAACTGAGTTTTCTTTTGAAGCCTCCTACCCTTGACAATCATTTGGAGTTGACACCCCCAGGGCAAAATTATGAGCACTGGGCAACCCTTGGGCTTTTAGAGAAAGCCCAGAATTTTCCAGAGGTTATTAGGCCAAGAGTGGGGAGGGAAAAGAGAGAGAGAGAGAGAGAGAGAGAGAGAGAGAGTCTTGCTGAGTCAGCTTTAAAACACAACTAGGGAGATCAATGAAATTCTTTGACGCCAAGATCCCTTTGCCTGCTGAAGGCCAGAATAATATCCATCTTGCTTAGACCTTCTCTTTGCAGCTGTGGGCTCAGCAGCTCAGGGAGGAAACTCTAACATCAGCCAAGGCTGGAGCCATGTGTCTTGGGATCTAGTGCCTCCTTCTGCAGCATAAACTGGGTAAATGGAGACTTGGTGTCTGCAAGTTAACTTGGGGGAACAGGAGGCATTTTCTTACCCTTTCACCTTCCATAGTGCTTTGGTTCTTCCTCTAGCTTCTATAGTCCCCAGAAGACTAAAGAGCCATAGATCATAGATCTGGAAGATGTGTCCATCTGGAGTGCATTCCTGTACCCCTTAGCCTGTGGGTCTGCTCTCCAGAGGCCAGATTATTCTGCCAATCAAATGCCAATTGAGAGCATACGGGAAAGACCCCATATGTGCAGGCCAGTGCAGGGGCAAGAACAAGGGAGGCTGGAGAGAAGGCTCAGGTGGTAGAGTTCTTGACTAGAATTCATACGGCTCTGGTTCAGTCACTGACACTAGATAAACAGGGCCTTGTAGTACATGCCTGTCATCCCAGGTCTTGGAAGGTAGAGGCAAGAGGATCAGAAGTTCAGAGCCAGGCCATCAAGATGGCTCAACAAAGGCACTTGCTCCCAAGCCTAAGGACTTGAGTTCCATCCGTGGGATTCACATGACTGGTAGAAGGAGAGACTTGATTCTTGCTAAATGACCTCTGACCTCCACTGTGGCATGCGCACACCATACACATAAACATAAATAAATAGAAAAGCTTTTACAAAGTTCAAGGTCAACTTTTTCTACAAGGAATGGAGGCCAGTCTTTGCTATATGAAATCCTGACAAGAAAGAAAGAGAGAGAGAGAAAGAAAAAGAAAGAAAGAAAGAAAGAAAGAAAGAAAGAAAGAAAGAAAGAAAGA